CTATTTATCTACTATGTAATTGACAACTGATTCAAATTACTCCTCAAGAAAGTCATTTAAGCTACTTCACTTTGAGCATTTTATAGGAAATTAAGGTTATACAAGTTGCTCCAGTCTTGGAATTAGTCTGTGGCAGTGCCAAGATTCTGAAGCAGGCCAGTATGACTCCAAAGCTAGTGCACTGTACCTCATACCTCTCAGTCTATAACTCAAAGAATCAGCCCAGTCCTGGATTTTTATCTTTTATTTTGAGACAAGGTCTTTCTAAGTTACTTAGGATCTTGCTAAATTGCTGAGCCTGGTCTTATTCTTTTGATCCTCCTGCTGCAGCTTCCTAAGGCATGCCCAGCTTTAGTCAGCTTTTTAATACAGTCATTATATGCACAGAAACCCCTCCCTTACTTTCTTAAGCTTCTCCCTTGTTGTTTTCTAATTTTCAATGGCAGCTAATATTATTAAAAATCAAGTTATGATAAACCATTCAGATAGTTACACCGAACCAAGGAAAGAAGACTGATTCAGTGAATTAGTAAGTCAAACCTCAAGTATTCAATAACGTGTCACAGACATTAAATCACTTTAAATTAGTAATTCAAATAATCATCCAAAGTCACTTTTTAAAGAACTTTCTCTGTTAAATGCTGACCACTTTTTTCAGTCTTCCAGTACAAATCGGTTGTTATGGACCAAGCTATATGGTCAATGACCAAACAGACTCCATTTTACCCTTAGACTCCATATCATGTAAGAAATGCTTCTCCCATGGGAAAGCCCTGCTTCTGTACCCATTAATAGTTACTTAGCATATCATATATTTGGCAACACAAAATAGCAATTCTCATAAAATGAAAAATTATTCTCTTTGGTTTCCATTTTTCTTGGGCAATGTACCTTGTCAGTGATTGATTGTCTACATGTTAGAAACCATTCTCTAACTTGTACTTAACTAGGGTCATTTTGACCCACTTCCCTTCTGCTTGCTCATTGCTATACCAACCTGGAAGTCCCGTGGGAAATACCAATGTACCCACTGCACTGTCTCACTAACTGCCCAAATCAGCTTCTATACCTGCTTGCTTGCAGCTACACCAACCCAGATGTAGTTTTTGCCTTTAAATATCCTAAAATGCTCAGGCTCAGGGCTGTTCCTTGCAGAGACAGTTATGGGTCTTGTGGGGAACAGTTTGCCGGCCGATGGGCTAAATAAAGACTCTTCAATTTGGACAAAACTGGAACTTGGTATGTTTTCTGAGTGACCTGCCCCACAACATGGTAATTTAGGATCTGGAAGGAGCTAAGTCAAATAAGTTCCTCAGATTCTATTTCAGACAAAATCCCTCAGAATATACAATGCATTGAAACTACTCCAATTTGAGAACATTCTGCTCCCTACTTTTTTTTTTTTTTGAGACAGGGTCTCTATAGTTTCCCAGGCTTATTTGGAACTTGTGACGGTCCTGCCTCCCAAGTGGTTGGTAAATAGGCACGTGCCACCACAACCAGTTCACACCTATAGTCAAAGGCAAATTAGTTTTTGTCAGATAATGCTAAATATCTGGTTCCCTCTCCCCAAATGTTGCTTTCTGGGCTTAAAGGAGAAAAAATACAGAAACTTTATGTAAATATAGAGCAGCTTTCAATTGTAAAGTAACTATGCAGCTTATTTCAACACTATAAAAAGTTATAAATTAGCAAATTCAAGTTGCTATAAATAATCAGTCACTTTCTTTTTTTTATTATGGGTTGTTTCTCTAAGAAATGATGAAAGAGGACTATAGAGTGATAAAGGTATATAAACAACCAGTGTTAGAAACATTCGAAATGAAAAATAATGCTTCTTGTAAAACATTTGTTTGTTCAGAATTCAGTCAGCTCCACTTACTCTAAACTGGGGGACCCCTATTTAACTTGGGCAGCTCGGAGGCAAGACCCATTTTGCTTTATAGTACAAAAAAAGGTAGAACTGCTAAATGCAAGATTTTTCCTCTCTAGGAAATAGCATCCAGA